TTTTTAAAATCCTGATTTCTGGGCCTCGTCCCTCTCGGAAATTCTGTTTCTTTGTTACTAATGTTGTGGCCCCACCCCATAACAAAGAAACAGAATTTCCGGAGGATGAGGCCCAGAAATCGGGATTTTAAAAAGATTCCCCGGTGATTCAAATGTGCAGCCAAGGTTGAGAACCACTGCTTTATGAGTGTCAGTCCCGGAGCAGTGAGAACTCCCAGGCGCCACAGAGGGAATAGCGGGCACTAGATGATGCCACTCTCTCCTGACCCCTGGGGAACACCTGCCTGAAAGTAAACTGGGTCCCAGATGTGGCTCCTCTAATTGCCCAGGTGGTCCTAAAATCGCATTAATATTAACCAGGTGTGGGTTCGTGAGCTGCAAGAAGTTTGGATGCCCTATGATCCCTAACATGGCTCGGTTCAGTTCCATAGGGTGTTTGAGAAAGAAGGAAAAGCCCCTTCAGCCCTGGGCGGGGTCCTGGGATGTTAGAGCCCATATTCCAGCTCTTTATGGAAACCCGGTGGCCATCAGGCCCCACTCTTCCTCTCTCAGGGCCCTGCAAGCAAAGGCCCGGCACCTGCGTCGCCCTGGTTCTGGCCCTGGGTCTCAGCCCGCTCTGGGGACAGAGGGGAAGGTGCTTTATCCGAAAGCCTGACTAAGGAAAGCCCAGCAGCTGGATTTGCTCTCCAGCTGGATCCACGGCTCTGGGTTTCTCCCTCCTCTCCCATTAAGAGAAATGACAGGGCCAGTTGGGTATCTGAGAGAAAGGAGAGAGAGCCCTGGGTTGCAGAGACAGTCAAGTGGAAGGGGCACAAGTGGGGCCTCTAGCCTCTTTCCCCCACCCCAGTAACCCATGCACTGAAAGCAGCCTGAGAGGCTCTGCCTTAGCCAGTCGGGAGCAGGGCAGGGAGTCCAGCCATGGCACACACATGTTCCCGCCTGCAGTTGCAGTGTTGAAAGCATGGGATTCAGAAAAGCCCTTGCTCCCCACCTCCCTTCTTCATCACTTGTGGCCACAGTGGCAATGTCAGGAAACCACAAATGGCCCACTCCACCCCACCCCCACTGCCTCTTTGGTGCCAAGACAGAAAAAGGCTAAGAGCCCATCACTATATCCCAGAAGCCCTGGTGACAATAATAGTTCCTTTTCCTCATCTTGCAGGTCCTGGTAGTCGACCTCGTCAACAATCGGTTCCTCAGACAGGTGAGTGAGAACGCCAGCTTCAGCCCGCTGCTCGCTCTCTTTTTACCTCTCTGGTGTTTGGGGCTCAGCTTTCCAGCTCTGCGAAGGCTCCTGGGTGGGCCTGGGCATTCCCAATTTCCAGCCAGGGCTGGACTGAGGAGAAGCCAGAAGGCAGGGGCCAAAGAGGGGGGGTTTAGCAAAGGATTGATCCCGACGTCTTCTGTCACAAAACGGTTTTCTAACAAAATCTTTGCGTAGGTTTGCCTATAGACTCGTCTTTTTCAACATGCTTTTAAAAAATATTTGAGAACAAAGTTTATGATATAATATTAAGTGGGGGAAATTAGGATGCAAAATCATATACATTTTTTGCGTGTTTTTTTTTTTAAAGGGGAAAGAGAATATATATATTGTCTCTAAACAAGTTGGAAAGGAAAACTCACCAAAACATTAATGCTGATTGTGGGAGAATGAAGGAGACAGATTATGAGTGACTTTAAATTGTTTTCAAACTTTCATGTATTTTCTATAATGATTATAAACTACTTTCATTATTAGAGAAAGTAATGCACAATTATTTTCTCACTTATCATTTGCCAGAGAGGTCTAACTCCTACCAGCTCTCCTACAAAGAACATTACAGGCAGGCTTTAGGGGTATTCTATTGCATTGCTTTTAAACTTGGAGCTGCCACGCTAGGAAGTTCTGTCTGTTGTGGTAATGCCATTTTCTATCCTTAGTTCCACTCACTTTTATTCCCAAAGGCCCTCAGGGAGGCCCTTCCCCGGGGCTCTCCTACGCTGAGACCCAGATAATAAAGCCAGCTTTTTGTTTATATGTTTGTTTTTATTTGAGAGAGAGAGACATTGATTTGTTGTTCCACTTATTTATGAATTCATTGGTTAATTCTTGTATGTGCCCTGACCGGGGATCAAAACCGCAACCTTGGGGTATCAGGACGATGGTCTCACCAACTGAACTCCCAGCCAGGGCCGTAAAACCAGCTTTGATCCACTGGTCATCTGCCCTGGCCACGTGCCCTGATCAGCACCAGCCACCCTACAGGGTAGGGCAGTGGGAAACAGTTCTTGTGTAGCCACGAAGTTCCAAGCTTTTTCACAAGGTAATTGTACTGTATTAATATTCTTCCTGAGCTTTATGAAATATTATTGACATATACATAAGCGTAAGGTGTACAGCATGATGGTTTGATATGTATATATATTGTACAGTGATTACCAGAATAAGTTTAGTTAACACGGCCATCACCTCACATAACTACCTTTGTGTGTGTGTGTGTAGTGATTAACATTTAAGATCTACTCTCAATAACTTTCAAGTATGTAATACAACATTGTTAACTTAGTCACCATGCTGTACCTTAGAGCCCCAGAACTTATTCATCTTAGAGCTTGGACCAACACTTCCCCCAACACCAGCATCTAGCAGTCACCATTCTACTCTCTTTCTAATAAGTTTTGGGTTTTTTTAGATTCCAAATATCAGTGAGAACATACAGTATTTGTCTTTCTCTATCTGATTTATTTCTCTTAGCATAATACCCTCCAGTTTCATCCATGTTGTTGCAAAAGGTAGGATTTTCTTCTTTTTATGGCTAAATAATATTCCTCTTTGTGTGTGTACACGTGTATCTGTGTCTGTGTGTATGTGTGACGTTTTCTTTACCTGTTCATCCACTGATGAACGCTTAGGTTGTTTCCACGTCTTGGCTGTTGTGAATAATGCTGCAGTGAACATGGATGCAGTTACCTCTTCAACATAGTGATTTCATTTCCTGATGTTTCCATCTCTCCCTCTCTCTCAAATCAATTTTTTAAAAAATATATTAAAAAGAGATTATGCTTTCTCCAGTGAGTATTCTTGGCTCCATTGTGAACTATCAATTGACCATATATGTGTGGACTTATTTTCTGGACTA